CATTATGTATCTAACTCTACCATATTTCTTGCATCAAATGCACAAAAAATGACGTTTTACGTACTGTGTACGAACGTAGTAGAACAAAACATCAAATGTTGTTTGAACATTCAAAAGAGGATCAAATTTAATATCAAACACCGCGGCAGAGCAAAGGGGCACACTTTGCCCAGTGAAGCTTCCATGCGGCCGCCTCATCTCCCCCTTTTACGGGGTCCGTCTCGTCATTCTTCTTTAGCATGTCCCACAAGATGTGAACATCCTCGTACTCGCATGTCCTCACATCTCGGTGAAGCTTATTTTGCCCTACATATGAGTTATATATTGAAAGTAAAATTTGGTGTTTACTCATAAATTTATGTACTATATATATGAATGAAGAACTAAATAAGGAAAACGTGTGTGTGTATATATATATATATATATATATATATATATATATATATATATATATATATATATATATATATATATATATATATATGTATATATATATATGCAAAATAACTTAGCTACTACAACAGGGAAAAACACTGATTTCATCCCTTAAGTTTGCACCGATTTCATATTTGGGCCACAATATTCACAAAAAACACATATTGTCCTTCATATTTCAATAATTTAACAATTTCGGTCATTTCCTACCGTTAATAGTAACGAAAATGACTAAAAATATTGAATTGTCGAAACATAAGAGTCCATTTTTTTTTTTTTATGAATATGAAGACAATGTGAAATCGGTGCAAAATTGAGGGATAAAAACTGTATTTTCCCACTAAAACATGAAAAGTATGATATGGCTAATTAATCAATAGTGTGCTTTGGGAAAACAAATACCATTAATTACAACCCATTACCTGTTTACATTTTCACACTAGAAGTATGCGAAAAGGACAAAAGGTTTTAGAAAGAACTTAAAATGTTTGGAAGCGTTTTGGATCTTATTTTGATTTCATTTTGAGGAAATATGTTTTGGGGGAATAATTTGAGAATGAAAGTAATGTTTGTTTGTATTTTGGAAAGAGACAAAATACACTGTAGCAGTCAAATTATGTTTAAAGGTGTTAGAAAAAAATATTTTTGAAGAAAAAAATTGAAAGATGAAGTGATGTTTATTTATTTTTTAGTGAAGACATTTTTTACTGTAGCAGTCAAATCATTTTACTGTAGCAGTCACATCATGTCTGAAGGAGAGAGAAACTTTTGAAATTGTTTTGAGAAAATGATTTGAAAAGTGTAATAAATCTCATTTTATTTTGGGGAAACAATGAAAACAAAATGGAAATAGTTCCAAACATTACCTTAAAGTTTTAAATGAAATTTTGTGCAAGAGAAATAAACAAAATTATAAAAAAAAAAAAAAAAAAAAGGGGTGGTTTGGTGCCAATTTTCCTCAACACATACATTAATTTATATAAAAAAAAAATTGTGCAATACGGCACCCCTAAAAAAAATAATGCATTCAGCCCCCAATTTAAAATCCTGACTCCGCTAATATCCGATTCAAAGTTATTTTAGCAAATTACCCCCTAAAAACTCATCGTTTATGGGGTTGTTTGCGTAATTATATACATGTGCCACTCAAAGAATATTTGAAAATATTAATAATTCGTGAATTGTTTTTTAAAAATTTTTGTTTATTTACAATCCACTCCTAGCTTTTGACATGCATAAATAAAAATAAATAAAATAAAAAAGAAAAAGAAAAAGGCTAACCAGCAGTTTTGGGGCGGATCTTTTTAGAGACTTTGGACCAAACCTTCCTCATCGGAACCGTCATTTTGCCCCACCATTTCATCTCCATATTCAATGTTACAATTGTTTAAGGATGAAACGAGTCAACACCGAGTTACCCACAAACTCACACAACAAAATTCCTCAATAAATAAATAAAAAAGAAAAAAGAAAAAGAAAAAAAAGGAGATAGAGAATATCTACAATCCCTTTGTCTCTCTCTCTCTCTCTTCCTCACATATGAGGAATGAGAGAGAGAATTATGCCCATATGAAATGGAATGTTTCCTTTTTTCCTTTGTTAAGATTTAACGGAACACCGGCGAATCGTGTCTGGTGGTTGTGGTAATACCATGTTTCCTTTTTCAGTGGGGGGACCACAGAGATTTTCCCGCTTGGGGGAGCTTACACGTGGAGCTCTTCAATTGGTTGATGTGTTGGATTAGGACCCTGTTTATGTCGGGTTTGGACCTATTGGTTTTTAATTAAAATTAAAAAAAATAAAAAAAATTAAATTGTTACATGTCATTAATCAAATGGATAAATTCATAACTCGTATCTAGGGGTGAAAGTCGGATGGATTGGATCGGAATTAGTCTTTTCGGAAAATTTCCAAATAATTTTGGAAGTACAAAATTAATTTCAATTCCAATTCCAAAATTTTCGGAATCTAAAAATTCATTCCAATTTCAAAAGGCCCGGAAAATTCGAAATTTCGGAAAAAAAATGGAAATCACATAAGCTTTAAAATTTCAAAACGTAGCCGAAATTTTCTATAATGTTCATAATTTTTCGAAAATAAGAACATCCTCGTGGATAAAAGTAAAATTAATAACTACTAAATTTCAGTTCAAAAAAATAAACAAAAATAAACACAACATAATATCCAATAAAACTTCTAACAACAATTCATTATGTCAAAATCCTAAAACAAAACTTATAGGTGTATTTTTCGAAAAATAAGTATTATATAATATATACTATTTATAGGTGTATTTTTCGGAAAAACATCGGAATTTTTCGGAATTAATTTCGGAATTAAATCGGATCGAAAATCGAAAATTCCAAATTTATTTTATATAATTCCAATTCCAATAAAAAAAATGGAAAATTTCGAAAATCGGAATTTCGGAAGTCGGAATGAAAAAAGTTGTTCCAAAATCAGAACTTTTCGGATCGAAACCGGCGGAAATTGAAAAATCTATTCCAACTTGCACCCCTACTCGTAACATTTATTTGATATTCTTTTCTGCATGATGTACAACCATAGTGATTCTCAGTTAGTTACAATTATAGCGATAATAATGTTGGGCCCATTTGATATACACCCCTCATAAGCAACTTATATAGGGCTAGGTCCACCCCTAAAATTCTTTCTTTGAGATAACCCCCTGGAGAGGTAAAAGTACTATTGGGCCCTTATGTTCAATTTCCACCCAACTGCATTCAGCATTCCACCAACTGCAGTCAGCATTTCCACCAACTGCATTTTAGCATTTTTGACCTGCATTTACCACCTTTACAGATTTTTTTAATAAAAAAATATAAATGTTTATTTTATTATTTTTATATATATATATACCTTTTTGTATTTTTTTTATTTTTTAATTTCCTTTTACTTTTCTTTTACTTTTCTTTTAATTATTTTAATTTTATTTTAATTTTTATTTTAATTTTTATTTTATTTTTCTTATATTAGTTTTTAAATTATTTACTCAATAAGTTTCCTGTACAGAAATTGACTATAAATAGTATATTAGTATAATTATATGTAGTCATGAACTGTTTTTTACACCAAAATTACGGTCGAACGATTATGTAGACGGTTGATTATATATATATATATAAAAAACTTCGTCTACATCAACAAAATTCACAATTTGGAACTTGATATTATAAATCAATTAGTACCCAACAAAAGAATTAGAAAAACACCAACATCACTATACATCAGGAAAAACCACATAACTAATATATAACTATATATTACTACATGTGACTATATATGACTACATATATATGACAACATGTGACTATATATGACTACTTGTATATGACTACATATGATTATATACGACTACATGTACATGACTACATGTGACTATATATTAATACACGTGACTATATATGACTACATCTATATGACAACATGTGACTATATATGACTACTTGTATATGACTACATATGATTATATATGACTACATGTACATGACTACATGTGACTATATATGACTACATGTATATGACCACATGTGACTATAAGAGTATATAGTATAGTTTGTATTTATGGCTTCAAATCCTACTTTTCAACACGACAGTAACTTCGATCTAATCGGCAACTGTTTCGAACTGACGAACAACATGTCCTCTCGGCAAAAGCTTAGTGCATAGAAGGTGTTCAAACACCAAAACCTGTTGAAAAAAAACAGGTTCAATTTAAATATTTATATTATAAATCAACTCATAACCAATAAATATAAATCGAAATACGCAATCACGTGCATATGTTACTACATGTTACTAAATTATCGTCGACCGACAAATATCGATTAACATACAGTTGCATCCACACACAGAAGAATTTCTTCTTAAAAATAGGTATGTATAGTAACTTTGCAGTATCAACATTTTAGGTTCGTGGATCTAACACATATCTTTAAAACCGTATCAGAAATTTCCAATGGTTACCTATGAATCGTGTGAAAGATGCAGTTTAGCTTCAGTATAACAAAGAATAGAGCAATTCAACCTAAAAACATAAAAAACATAGAATATAATCTAACTATTTAACTTAAGTGGAACCTAATATTTAAAAATCTAGAATCTCATTAAAAAAATAAAAAATAAATGATAACTTTGATACAGAGAATGCCTTTCAACCTAAAAACCTAATATTCAGCACAATGCTCACAATTAGCACAAGCAAAACAAATATGCAAAAAGGAAATTGAAGATCTTATCACCTGATTCATGGAATATTCAAATCAATTAAGTTAACAAATCGAATCAGCAAATAGAAAAGAAGAACAAACCCAATTAATTAGGAACCCTTCAAAGAAGAAGCTTTTTTCTTATGCTATTGAAGCATCTTAAACTGATGCAGAAATTAAGTTTACCGGTGACAGTGGCGGCGGTGAGCGATAGGCGGTGGTGGGCGGCGGTGTGGCAGTGGGCGGCTGTTAGCAACGAAGTGACAGTGAGAAGTGGGAGAAGCAGGGGGAGAAGCGGTGGGGGAATCGGACGGCGGAGATGATGCGGGCAGCGTAATGGTGGCTGATGGTGTTGGACTTGGTGCTCCCGCCACCGGCGTGGGCGGAGCCGCCATTGGTGCTGCTGTTGGAGCAGGCTTTGGGCGTGGCTGGAGCTTGAGACCGCCATTGCTGAATTTTCTTAAGTTTTTTACTTTATGGAATTTGTACAGGAGAGAGAGAGAGAGAGAGAGAGAGAGAGAGAGAGAGAGAGAGAGAGAGAGAGAGAGAGAGAGAGAGAGAGAGAGAGAGAGAGAGAGAGAGAGAGAGAGAGAGAGAGAGAGAGAGAGAGAGAGAGAGAGAGAGAGAGAGAGAGAGAGAGAAGTGAAAGCTACTGAAATTTGAGAGAGAGAGGATAAACGGCGGTGGAGGATGAAGAGAGAAGGGAACGAGAGTTGAGAGATCTAGGGTTTTTAATTGTAACTAAAGGGTAAAATAGGTATTTTAATTTGTCTAGGGGGGTCTATCAAATTAAGATTAGAATTTGGGTTTTTAACTAGGAAAGAAAAATCCTTAGGACCTATCCCTATATATTTTCAAAACTAGGGGGTTATCCCACATTTCCCCAATAATGTTTGTCCGTCTAATCATGTGAAAATTATTTAGTGTTTTCAGCTCTAAATATTATTTCTTATAGTGGTCGTGTTTTAATTATATTGCAACGAAAGGGTAATTATCTTGAATTATACTCCTAATATCTCATATTATTTGTCTTTTTATAGAGTTTTTATGTCCAAAATTATTTTTTATTTTAGATTTTCAATGAAACATCAATTGCGTTACTTTCGATCTTACTATTTATTGCTCTTAATTAATTAGTTGTAATTGTAAAACAACTAATATCAAGGATATATTTTAGTGATTTTCTATGTCTTTTACTTAAATCTATGCACATTTATTGATTTTTTTAATATATGCACAACAATATGTTAGTTAAATTGGGACGAAGGGAGTAATTAGCTTCAAATACTGCCTCTAAAGTTCTTCTACGAATAAGTGACAAGGTTCATTAGGTCACGAAATATTCAATAATATATTTTTCTTGTGCAAATTGATGTCTCTCTTTTTTTCCTTTTATCATCGAATTTTTTTTTCTTTTTGATACTTTCTTTTTGTGTAAATAGACCGTTTGTGAAGGAAATTTTGGACGTGCACAACTAATGTGCATAGATTTTAAAGCCGGTTCCAATTAAGCCACTGGGGCATAAGAAAGACGACGAGGGAAGTTTAAGTTCGAAAAAGTTGGATGAGGATCATCTAAAATACTTTCCATTCTTCCTACAAAATGAAATAGTTTGTATCTTCAGAACGTTTTGGGAAAGCTCATACAAATTTACTTATGATGTGGCGAGTTTTTTTTTCTAATGAAGGAACCCGCAGTCAACCATATTAGATGTACTAGGTAAACCAACAGTACTCTCGTATAATAACTTGCAAATCATACGAAAGACGTAAACCACACTAGGATAATCATGTGTGACAAGCTCGACCTAGCGATCGTTAGAATTCGAACATATATATCAATTAACACAGACTCACTTGCTCCAACGGCTGAGTCATTCCTTGTGGGACACTAAGATACCTTGCGGGATTCTATGATACTAATTCTACCACCATAGGTGGAGTTTTGTGTGTTTGGTGAACTATTTTGCAATTTATACATGATATTAAATTTACTTTATTCTAGGTACATAATATATATTATTAATCTCATTCTATATATTATATAATATCACAACGTAAAATGACATTCTATATTTAACTTTTATAGAACTAATTTTCACCATAAAGTATTAATGTTACCAAGAATAAAGATAAAGATAATTATAATTAAAAAAAATAATTAAAATTAAAATTAAAATTAGTAAATAACCAACAATACACAACTGGTGTATGGTGTAGGGTCGAGTAGACCAACCCGGCCCGGCTCAAGTCACTAATGTGCATAGATTTCAAGTCTCTATAAAAGGAAACCGTTCAAAGTTTTCAATTCTCTCTCACTTCTTCATCGTTCACAAAGCCACGATCGCCCAGACTCGGTAATTCCGATCACTCTACCGCACAACGCTCCGATTCCGATTCCGATAGCGGTACGTGTTCTTCTCATCTTCGATCAAGTGTAGGTTTTATCGTTTATCTCATGCCGCGGTAATTATTAACTGATGTCGAAAATTTGACGCTGATATGTATGTATTGTCGGCGTCGATTCTTTGATGATGAGAACCCTAATTTTTCATTTTTTTTTGCCCTACTGGGAATTGATGATTCTCTTAGTTGTAATGAAGCTTTGGAATTTAATTGATTATGATATGCAAAATAGGGATTGAAATTTCATTTTGAATATGTTTCCAGTCATCTGGATTTTAGTATCTCAGAATTTATAGTGATGTAAAGCTGACGATTAACTAAAATGACTGCGCAAGAAATTTGAATTATCAGTTTTCTTTGTGCAAGAAATTGAATTACCATATGTATCTTCGATTTTGTCTTAAGTTCCTTTTCGAGGCTAATTGCTAATATCTTCAAAAACTGACTTGTGTAGCCGAAAGGCATTGCTCGATTGGATTCAGAAAAAACTTAGTCGAGATAATGTTATTCTTTCATGTTCATAAAACTTAGGCAATCAAGAAAAGTTGGCAAGATTCATCTCAACTAGGTACCATGTCGAAGATTTCCTTCCATATGTTGCTTCGAATAATACAACCCCAAATTAACAAGGACAAATCTGTGCAAGTTCGCGGTCTTGCCTTAAGACTCGAGGTTGTTTTTAGTTTCTCAAATATTGTTATAATATTGGCTGCGACTCTGAACAAATCGTATCTATCAGCAGTCTAATGAAGTTTATCTATCTATTTCCAGAAACATGAGATCTCTAGAGATGTTTTTTTGCATAGTCTGCGAAGTATTGTGGGGGAACATTTGTTAAATTCAGCCCTGTATAAGGTTCAGATTCAATTATGTCATAAATTCTATGGAATCTGACTATTTGCGGCGGCTTATATGTCTGGAATTTGAATTTGATATTTTATCAAAACTGACAAATCAGGGTGATTCCAATGAGTTACAGTCACTGCCTCAGGCCTCCGTGCAACAAATGTCACCGAGTAGTGCAAAATTCTCTCTCTTTTAGCCTGTTAATTTACCAATTACTTCAAAGTGGCTCTTCCACTCACTAAATTCATCATTCTATTTTTTGCAGCACAAATAAAAACAGATTTAATCAGATCGGATGAGGTGGAAAACCAAGCAGATTTATTGCAAGTGCAAGTAAGACAAATTCAATTTTCATTTTAAGTACTTATTACAGATATCTGTTTTAGCCTGCTATGCAATCTCTGCTGAATCTTTAACGTCTCTATTATGCAACTAGGGCTAATAAAAAGTGATAAAAGAAACTACTAGTACTAGGTAGTACTCTTTAAGATTGGTCAGTTAAGGCTCTTTCGTCAAACACAACAAACGAAGTTTGAACAATTTTCTCACTTGATAAGATTTGAAACTCAGCTTTAGTTGTGAGCTTGATTTATGTATAAATGACCAAGTTACTCGAGCTTGACTAAATTAGAGCTTGTTTAGTGCATATGTTTAACTATCAAAATAAGCTCAATCCATTTACACTTATAGCCGCGACCACATGATTCACATTTGTGATGTGAGTTGTCTCAAGCTCATCATCAATCATGTGAAAAACGTGTGTGAATCTGACTGTACTCATTCCTTTGGTGATCCTAAAATCTGTGTCTCTTCATATTTTGACTTGTTTAAAGCAGGAATTAGTTGACCTGACAAATGAAAAACACAACAAAGCTGAGATATCTTCTGCACAGACTTTGTTTCCTTCGTCTTCTGCACAGATAAGGCAGGGCTATGAGGCTCCAGGTAATAATTTGAAGGATGAATATTCAAGCATGCAGTCATCTGAAATGGGATTAATGCCACCTCCAATGCCGGTTGCGACCAGTGTTTCGGTAACTTTAATGTCTCTATGGTTTCTCTATTGTGATTTTACTGATACATGGCTTTCAAAAATAGCTGAACATGCATGTAGACAGACACACTTGAAAACCTGATGCTTCAATAAGGCTTTAAAAAATAAAGAAATTATGGATAATTTTAACCCTCGTTAGATGTAAGTAATCATCCTGTGGGGCTAGATGTCGTTGAAAGTTGAAGTCAATTGATGATATGTCAATTCTATTTAGAGCAACTAAAAATTTGTGCCTCTGAACATAGAAAGCTGATTACCTATAAAACATCATGCTACATGTTAGACGAGAGCCAAGTTTAACATAGGCTGTATCTCATATAATAATAAACGTTCCTACTCTCCGTACGCCGCCTTCTTTCCTTGCTAGCATCCCTCATCTTTTTAATTTTCCTTTGTAAAAAGCTGTTACTTCTCGAGTAAAAACACTGGTTTGTTCTGAATATTTTATGATTATTATTTGGTCTGTTTCTTCATCTCTTTACTAATTGAAATGTCTTTTTCTTACTCTCACTGTCAGTCAAAGTCTTTGATGCATTCTCTTACATCTTCGATTGAGCCTGAAACTAGTTCCAAGGCTATTCCGAAGAAGACTTCTGTTGGCAAGAAGAAGACTTCTGTTGGCAAGAAGAAGTCAACAAAAGAACGTGTTGTTTCATCACCCCCATCAAGGTGATGTCATTGTTACTAATAGTCATCTATAATGTTTTGCTTCACCAGTAACAAATGATCAGATTCTCTAACTATATAGTAATTTATTCTCGCAAATATAATCTGCAGTAAGAAGCAAAAATTGTCGTGTGGAGCTTTTCCAAGCATTAAAGAGCTCAATGATGTTACTGCACTAAGTGGAATTGATATTAGGGTAAAAACCCTCTTCAATCAACCTCTCATTATTACCGAGAAAACTGCATAACCACCCACAGCCTTATTTATTTATTTTTTATTTATTTATTTTTAATCTAACAAAATAAACTGCATAAACAGGAGGAAGAAGAACACCTCTTCTCTAGCCCCAAAAAAGGCAGCCGGGTTTCAGAGACATCTCTACTAATTGTACAAGAAGAAGAAAATATGATTTTGCATAAGATTCCACTTCAGAAGAAATTGATGGAAACAAGTTAATATTAATTATGTTAACTTTTTTTTAAACTTTTTTCATTATCTTCATTCAACATATGTTTTGGAGGGTTGCAAAGAGCATATATATTTTGTCATTCTGGCAGTTGCAAAACGTGGTTTAACGAAAATAAGCAACGATGTGGAGCGATGCTTGTCTTTGGTAAGACTGTGAAATATGCAATTATGCGCTCTCTGATTTACTTTTTATAATTCTTTATGAAGGGTGTCAAGAACAGAAGATTCTAGGCCATCATAATTGGTTTCAGAACATTAAAATAAAATGTCCCGATAGAGCTTCCAAGTGGGGAAGTCGAGGACTTTTAGAAGTATAATAATCCACATAGAGAAAGTAGATCATTGTTTGCATGAAACATTTTTCCCGATTGTGTTTTTGTGGAAGTGTTACCAAACTATTATTGTTTCTTTTAGTGTGTTGAAGAGAGAATGCGGGGACTCATATATAATCTCATCAAAGTATCGAAAAAGGTTACTTCCATGCTTTTATTTAGTTTGGATTGTTTTTCTCTTTCTGTTTATTTTTCGATGTGAAGTGCTTCACAAATAATTCTAATAATGACACTTTTGAGTTATTCTGCAGCGCATGGACACAGAGAAGACAAGTCAAAGAACTGTAATCACTTCAGATGTCAAGCAACAGATTATGTCAATAAACCGTAAAGCCGATGAAGAACAGGAGAGGAAAGAAGCTGAAACTCAAACCTCAGAAAAATTAAATTTAGTACGCAACGGTTCTTCCACTTAATAGTATTTCCTAATATACGTAACTTCAGCCTTTTAATCGAAGAAATCACCGAAGCCGTGTATTTGAACTAAATGAAAATGTAGCCTGAGGGTACTACTGGAGTTGATGGTGACAAAAAGCGTGAAAGTTGTGCAAGATTAGCTAAGGTAACAATACATAATTGTCTTCTGTATTTGTGATACATTTACGAGAATTGTGTATTTATAATAACAAGAAACAATATGATAATCAGGCTGCAAATATGGCCGTCCGAGCTGCTACTGGGACTACTGATATGATGTCAAGATGGCAATCAATGATTGAGGCCAAGCAGAAACAACAAGGAATCGATAAATCTGGTAAAGATGTAATAAATATAAGCAATCAAGATGGATCGGAAGTTTCTGGCACCCCTGGTATGTTCTTTTGTAGTTCGTCTATAAAATAATATTTACGTTTTTATAATCTTGGAATGGGAACACATTACTGTTGTGAAATAGTTAACATGAACTTCTATTAAAATAAATTACCGAGTTCTGTCATATTTCATAAACTGATTGAGCATGTTAAGCTTCAATGTTCATAGTTTATTTAAACATTTTACTTGTCGATAAACCTTGCTTATTTGTGAGAGAAGAAGAACAGACGCGTTTTTGCTGTTATTTAACGATGATCTTTAGGTTGGGTTCGTTTTTCTGTTTTGTTCGAAATTCGTTACATTTATTTTTCTTTCTTTCTTTGTTACAGCACTGGATAGGAAAATTGGACAAATTGAAGTGATGGTGCCACAGGTTAGACGGTGCAGCATCACGGTTAAGGATGTGATTGCCGTCTTAGAAAGAGATCCGCAACTGTCGAAGTCTACATTGATATACAAATTGTACCTATTCTACACTTGACAAATTACTAACACCATATCATCATGTATAGACTAGCAATCCCGATTTCTTTTTCCTCCCATTATCGATCGTGTATCGTAAATCCATCAATCTACTCTAAAGTTGATACATACCTTCAAATGCTGACACCATGTCTTTTATAGTGAGCAACTCCACCTATACTAAATATAACTAATAGTTACAAGTTGTCATCAATTGTATTAAATATTTTTTTTTTATGGATCCTTTTGTTGAATGGCATTTTGATTTTGAATTTAACCTCAGTGCAATTGTATTAAAACTCAAAATTAATTCTTCTTATCACAATGAGTAAAATTTTAATATATACTATTGTATCACTTATTATTTGAAATTTAATTTGTTGCAATTTTTATTTTTTTTTTTAATTTAAAACTAAACTTTGGTAGCATATGAACGGTTTAATCTCACTTTGCACCCTTGAAATATAGCATTTTGGCACTTTGCACTATCGAATTTCTTTTATGCATTTTGCATCCTCGAAACACAATGAATATGCATAATGCCCCGAATGATTAATGAAGGCTGTGTTTGATAAGATTAAGCACTGAATGATGAATGCTGAATAAACATCTGAATAATTAAGAGCATTGTTGTGTCTTGAATGCTGAATAGTTAAGCATGTTTGATTATTATATATCTGAATAAGAGCAACTACAGCGGATGAATTAAATGGGGAATTAAATGGAATAACTTCTATTTTGATGCTCCAAAACATTAAATTGGTAGTTATTTTGATATTCAACTTCCCGAGATGCAAAAATGCATCCTGGAAAAAGAGGTATCAAAACATTAACTACCCAATAAACCTATTAAAAATTGACACGTGTCAATATTAAATATATTTATGCTTATATTTAAAATTAGATGATTCATTTAATGCTTGCGGTTGGAGTAAATGAGTATCAAAATAATAAAACGAGTATCAAATTAATATTTGATGATCGATTTTGATACTGTACCATTGGAATTGCTCTAATACAATATTACTACATTAACCGTATAAATAAATTTATTTGCTAGTTGAATTATTAATAACATCTAAAAATATATTTTTATAATAGTAATAAAATCATAACAGAAAATATGGAGGTGGAAAACAACAACGTAACTTTTCTTTTTGTTTACTATAAAATAATTTAATTGAAATGAAAGATTTGTTTTTTTTCTCATCCACATCTCATTATCTCGATTAGTGTGTATAATAATAATGTGGAGAAGAAGAATCCAAATGGTTAAATGAAAGAAAAAAAATGAATTACATAGTTCAACAAGCACCACCGCAACTTTCTTCCATCGGTGGCATCATCAAACACTCTGTCAGTTCTCCACCTCGCCACCATCTTCAACGGGACCCCCAAGATTGATTCGCCACTGCGGCCCCTCCCTCCACCCTGAAAACTTAGTCGGATTCCACCTCTCCGCCATCTCCAATGGGACACCAAGAGACAGTTTTTTATTGCAATTGCATAAGCCCGGCAAGGTGAATATTCGATTAGGCAAAGATTGAGTAACAAAGATGAAGGAGGTGAAGGTTGATGCAGTGGAGGAGGCTTTGTTGTGGTTAACAAATTAATTGCTTATATGGATTTAAATTGACACAGAAGAAAAAGATAGATGTGGTCGCATAACTCAATATTTTCTAGGTATAAGTTTATCCATAATTCATTCAGTGATGTTCTGGATGATTAAGCGAGAATTTTCTGAGGACCGGTAAGCGGTAATATGTTCCGTTCAGATATCCAAACCAAACATACATTAGCCTTATTCAGAGCCTTATTAAGTGGTAACAAACAGAGCGGAAGATAGTTTGATATTTTTAATGGTATTTTCTAGCATGTCAAATCATTTATTTTATATTCATTGATCATTTCGAAACTACAAAGTGGAAACATAAAATATACATCTCATCAACATATTAATTTTTTTTTTTTCACAAAATAATAGTTTATAGAAAACAAAGAGAACAAAAAAACAAACCATTCAGCTATTTTCAATGTAGTTATTAAATTTAATAGCTGAGATTACTTTAATTGGGAATAATTTCACGATTGTTGTTGTATTTATGTTGCATGACGATGCAGACATCTACGAGTGGATTTGGAACTATTTGAGAGGGTTGTTAGATGGGATCGAAGCTGATGTGATCCTGACAGACCGAGAGTTGGGTCTCCTGAAAACACTGCCAAATGTCTTTCCAGTTTCGTATCACATGTTGTGTATATTCCGTATAAACATAAAACAAAATTTATGAAGGCAACAAAGACCAAGATCTTATATTCCGACTTGGGGTGCGGGCTAAGCTGGTGAAATCAGAAATCGAAGAAGAGCATCAATACAATTACAATGAAACTGTTGGACGGTATGCATGTATAGGATACCATAACCTGATACAATATTTGAATCATACATGGTTAATCTACAAGGAGAAGTTTGTCCGAGTCTATACCCACAGTGTGTATCATTTTGGCAACACGAGCACCAACATGTATTACATGTTTTAGTTATTTCAATAATACAATATATTATATAAAAATATATAAATAATTTGATTTCCATTATGATCGGACAGGGTGGAGGGTGCTAATTCTTCTGCAAATGGTTGGTTAAATGCTTTGATCGGAGGTGTTGATAACGTACAAGGCTAAATTTGGGACCAATTTCATATCCAAATTAGTCAGTTGAAGTGCGATTTCTCATTATCATCCAAGATTAGGAAGCATACTGCAGTGTGTTTGTGCTTTCATGGTTCGATTTGTTACATTACACATCTGGCATTGGAAAAATTGGATCAAGAGATGGAGTCCCCGGCGATGTAAGATCCCAGTATTTGCACCCATTATCTTTGGAATACTTATGGGCTCTCTTGCATGTTCAAATTTGTGCAGAAAATGAAAGATAATGATAAGTTCGTCATTTCAGGCATGCATCCATTCTGAAGTAAAAAGACAGTTGAACCTTCGGAGCTACATCTGAATATTAAGTAAACCGCAAGTAGATTGTGGATAGACAGATTGATGACCTCAATAGTAATTTGAAGAAGATGAATTACATGAAAAGGATAAATGTCGTGGCCTCATTGTGAGGCATCATTTATCCGCCTATGACTCATCTGTCCAAGTCATCATTTGTTAAGACCAAAGGACGACCAAAGAATAACCCGACAAAGAGAGACCCTTCCGGGTGACAATATCATATTGATTCGGAGATGGTTAAGTCGTCTTGTGGTTCCAAGAGTCGCTAATCCTCCACTGCAGCAAAGATTCCTAAAACAAAGATCGAAGAAGCACTTATGGAACGCCTCAATCAAAGATGAAAGGTCGTGGTTCTCGTATTCCTACACAAGAATGTATTGCCCCTCCAATACTTGCACACGAAGTATTATACTATGACTTTCTTTTGTGCCTCGTTTTATGGTCTGTCTTATTCAAGATTATGTCATCAAGATCATGTCAAAGTGATGGCGGATGACAACTGTGGGAATTGGTGCGTTGCTCAAGTTGTGTACGGGGATCAAGAAATATGACATCGAGTGAGAGCCGAGTTGCTTATTGAGTTATACGAGCATGCTGATGTGTAGACGTCGATGTTTGGCAGTACTGGATATATTGAGGTGATACGCAAGTTGACTGACCCTCAGGCCCTTGTCCACAAACTATTGGATGGACATGAATGAAATAGATTGAACATTGCTATCAAATACAATTGTGCATTGGTGGTACTTTTGATCCAAGTGGTGAGTATGAATTATCTTCCTGTGTTTGACATTGACCACTTATCATGTATGATTGATGTGACAATGCACAACAATCATTTCATGCTTGTTAATTTGGTCGCGAATAGTCATCTACCACTTATCCACTCGGCATGGGTACATCATAGAGATAAAAACCTGAGGCACCTACTCAAAATGTTCAGACCCGATTACTCGTGTACGAACAATTAAAGTCTGATCGATAGTTTCAAAATATTCTTTTATTGTAATTTATACTTCTATTTGAATTTTAGTTAAGTTTTATGTGAATTTATTGTATATATTTGACCGTTAACAACTAAGTTGGTTAAATTCCAAAAAAAATAGGGATTTCGTACAATATTGTACGAATCTCAATCTTCCATTTCATGTAGATATCTACAAAATTAGAGCTACCATTTCGTGTTCTTAATCAAGAAACGAAAGAAATCATGATATCTATCAATTTCGCTATCCGTGTTCTACACTAAAAAACACATATACTTCGTGTATTTGTACACGAATTTGTTCACTGCATTTCATGGGTTATAACATGAAACGGCGGGCGATTTTTGATTTTTTTTTTTTGAGAATGTTTAAAATGAAATAAATCGCACTGCAAACCAGTAAAAAAATGTTCTATGATAGCATTTCAGATTTGTCTTTCAAAACTAATTGTTTCAAAAAAGTAAAAAAAGAAAAGAAAAAAAATCAAAACTAATTAAACTACAAATGGGCCACAACGACAGGCCCATGGCCCGAGGCCCAAAACTAGTATAACCATCAGGTACTGTAACCAGACCAATCGTGGAGAGAGACACTTCCCGATTTACCGGTCCAGTATCCTCTGGTGCGGTTCGTGCAATCAATCCCACCTCATATCGAAATAAAATCATCGTCAAACGAAAACACAAAAAACCAGGCGAAAAATCAAAATCTGCCACCTGAATTTTTTTTTTTGATGTCGCAAGCTCGAGTTTACGCTGACATCAACGTTCATCGCCCCCGGGATTACTGGGACTACGAATCTCTCGCCGTTCAATGGGGGTATTTATTCAATTAATTCTCATTATCCCCAATTTCTAAGTTTGTTTCTCTTGTGCAGATTGATTTCTCCTGTACATGTGTTTTTTTTTTTTTTTTTTTTTTTTTTTTTTTTTTTTAATTATTAGTTAATTTATTCCGGAATTTATTTTGGAATTTGTTATTTTTTTTTTGATGATTCTATAGAGATATGAAATTTTATGATTCCATATTTTGATAGCTTGTTGGGTAATGGCTTCAAACCTAACAGTTATGATTTAAGGTGATTTAGTTTTATAAATTTGATGACTTAAAAGCTACCAATTTGTTAATTTTTAGTGTTGTGATAATATGTGTAGGCCTTTCAGCTAATAACAAGTGGTGTTGTCTGTGTTTTATAAAAAGATTGTTCCTTTTTTTACTTGTGTCTAAGTGGGAATTAAGCTGGACGGTTAGTATCGATGAGAACGAAACAGTAACTCAAGAATCAATAGCCTATATACATGGTTCGGGTAAAAAGTCTAACACAAATTTATATCGAATAACTTGGACTTTCAAAGCGGGCTTGATTGGATGAACGTTGTGTTGCGTTGCTCAAGAGTTGTTTCATAGATATAATGAATCGAGAATAACTAGTGAATATCTGCTATGTGTACTCACACACACACATGTATATATATGTATATTCGTTTCGAATATATGGTTTTCTTGGTTCAGTTATATGACATATTCATTTTGTGGTCTATTCAGTGATCAAGATGATTATGAGGTTGTTCGAAAAGTGGGAAGGGGGAAATATAGTGAGGTCTTTGAAGGAATAAACGTAACGAACAATGAAAGGTGCATCATCAAAATTCTTAAACCAGTCAAGAAGAAGAAGGTAAAGTTCGCTATTTCTCTAGTACAGTTTAATCTTGAAGTTTGACGCCTGGGAAATTAAATAGCGGGGCATCATCTATAGAATCAATTATATATCCAATTGCAAAATTGTTTATTTTTTTGCGTATACCGGTTAATGATAAATTTTGTAAAACGACAGATAAAGAGGGAGATAAAGATACTTCAAAACCTTTGTGGTGGTCCGAATATCGTGAAGTTGCTGGATATAGTTAGAGATCAGCACTCAAAAACCCCTAGCTTGGTTTTCGAATATGTCAACAGCACTGATTTTAAAGTCTTGTACCCGACATTGACTGATTATGATATACGCTACTACATATACGAGCTTCTCAAGGTATAGTTTCCCGTTTTAGCTGATATCTGCTCCCTTAATTATCATTCACTAGTCATGCGATTTCTTTGCGTGTTGAGTTGCATCAATCGAGCTTTTGTGAATAGGAAATTTGACTAGTAGAAGTATGCCCTCACTCTTAATTGATCATGCTCACTATTGATCTGAGAAGCAGAGAAAAATTCACAATGTATTCTGATCTGTCCCTAAATTTTTAGTTCTCTAATCTTCTATTTGTAATAATGTAAAAGCTATGTTAAGCGTGTCTCGACATTGCGAGCATCATATGCTTAAGAAAGTATCCAATTTCAAGATTTACAATGCAATGTGTAGAGAGGATGTGCTGTTGTTAAGGTATTTGTAAGATACATCCTTTTTCCTTGTAATCGAGTTTAGTTTAGCATTCGTACAAAATTTAACTTTTAACATGGAATAATGGAATTCTGGAATTCGGGAATCGATTTGGAAATCAGACCTATTTAGTTAAATCATGCTTTTAGTATGAATTTTAACGGACCCCGTAAAACAAAGGCAGGACTTTTTTTTTATGATACATATATTTGCTAGTGTTTCATCTCTGTCTATCACACTTGCAAACATATTCTTATATCATACGTTTTGGCATTTGGTTCGGGAAACTCTTGAGCAATATTTGCAGAGTCCATTTGGCTTTTGGAGATGTACACAAACAACTATGTTTAACTGATCATTCAATATATATATAAATAATCACAGGCATTAGATTATTGCCATTCGCAAGGGATAATGCATCGGGATGTCAAGCCACACAATGTGATGATTGATCATGAATTGCGAAAACTTCGGCTGATTGATTGGGGACTTGCCGAATTTTATCACCCTGGGAAAGAATACAATGTCAGAGTTGCTTCAAGGTTTTCAGTTTTACATTTTCCTTTATTTTACATTTGAATAATGGGCTTGTTCACATTTAGTTGTCTTAGTAGCTAATGACTTTTTTTTTTCTTCCGACTATTGTTCAGATATTTTAAGGGTCCTGAATTACTTGTAGACTTGCAAGACTACGACTATTCTCTAGACATGTGGAGCCTTGGTTGTATGTTTGCTGGAATGGTGAGAATAGCTTTCCTTTACATTATCATTTTATTTTATTTAATTTATTGATATTGGTTATCATTTTCCTCTTTGTGCAGATCTTTCGTAAAGAACCATTCTTCTATGGTCACGATAATCAAGATCAGCTAGTCAAAATAGCCAAGGTATTTTTACAGTTTCTGTGACCAAATCTCTTAATTGGCACTGTATTAAAATATTCTTCTTATAGAATAAATGTACAAGTTTGTCCCTTTAAAAGACGTATGTAATTGAAAGATGTGGATATGGATTACTAATATAGTACAACGCATGACATGCTTGGTTTAAATGAATTTGAGTTATTAAGATTTTTACATTTGTTGTGTAGTACTGTACTCTAATTAAGTTTATTTACGTTCTTCCTTCGTCCCCTCCTGTGTGTACTATAACCATGCCCATATGTACGAATACAAGTATAAGTGACATGATAGACAAAATCGTAATGGGCTTAAAATCGGATCGTAAAAAATCGTTAGATTTTACCTATCTTGTAAATTTAAATAGCATGCCAAATGTTATATGTCTCAACATATATAATATATCTCCTATTGTATAAATATATAATATATGTCTCAAAAAATCGCAGCATTTATATTTCTTGTATAACTGCTTTTGTGGTCAATGAACCAACTGAATCGGGTTTGAAGCTCGTTTATTTTGGGGCTACCCGCAAGTAGTTCGAGATTTCTAATAATTCTTGTAGTGTAGACTGTTGGTTATGCTGCAGACATAGCTTCGAGTATTTTTCTCATTGACATTTCTCGTTTTAGTACTTCTTGAAGCACCATATTAAGATTGGTGATTATCTTCTAATCTCCGACGTACGTTCGTCTACATTGTGCCATATTTGTGTTTATTAAGATATGAATATTTTGTTTTTCTTTTGGACATCACATCACAGGTCCTCGGTACAGATGAACTGAACACATATCTGACCAAATACCGTCTTGAACTGGATCCTCAACTCGATGCTCTTGTTGGAAGGTAGTTCAATAACAATAATAATCACGTTTTTTTTTCTTGAAGTTTTTAATTCCGGAATTCATTGATTGATAAAGAAAACCACGCATAACCACATTATCATATAGTTTCTCTTATTTCTGTGCGTTAGTGACAATTTAATGTTGTTATATTCCCTCAGGCACAGTAGGAAACCCTGGTCAAGATTTGTTAATTCAGATAATCAGCATCTAGTTTCACCAGAGGTTCGTTATATTTGTTCTACCTCTCAACAAATCGAACATCTTGTTTTCCTTATTTTTTTCTTACAATTTATCTGCATAAATCATTGTTGATTTATATTTTGGTTCAACGATTCCTTGAGCAGGCCATTGATTTTCTCGACAAGCTTCTCCGTTACGATCATCAAGACAGGCTAACAGCCAAAGAAGCAATGGTAATAACGAACAAGTATTTATATATTTGGTGATGATTTAGTTTTGCTAATTGCAATTACCATTCCATCTAATCCATTTTTTTCGTTTAAATTTCAGGTTCACCCGTACTTTAACCAAGTGAGAGCCGCTGAAAATAGCAGGATGAGGATTCAGTAGCTACATATTTATTCACGCCTTTCACAAAATCGCTAGCGTTTGTGAATGAATGAATATTTTGTGTTTGTTAATTATTATGTACTAAAAAAGTAAATTAATTGTCGAGACTTGAACAGATGTTCTCTTCTCGGTGGACGGATGGTGTTCCATTCTTTCGTGTTAGCATTTTTCAACTCTTCGATTAGTATTTAAAGATTTGTGTATATCACACTCGCTACTCAATTGTGACGTTATTTACTTACTAGTTTGGGACTTTGCTATCGGTTTTGTTGCTGACGATCAATTTCTTTCTTTGTCAATTCGATGGATGACATTATTTGAGAAATATATACTATTCGTATTTCGTCAGTAATTATATTCTTAGTAAGCATCTAAATAATTGAAACTCATTCAAAGGTTTTTTTTTTTTTTTTTTTTTTTGTAGAGGCTATGTACCAACTCTCCTAATTATAAACACTAATATATTTCACTCTGGCAGGTGTAGCATATATAATTATATATACATATGTATATATGTATATATTGAACTAATAGCCAAAATTTGCTCATATTCTGTTCTTTTCAAGTTCATTCGAGATCGACCAACACAAAGAATGCCCACATCTTTTTCGCTATTCAAATATAGCATTGTAAAGACCGTTTTATTTTAACTATCGATTAGTCTAGAATGTTAAGTATAGAACACACCAATAAACAATTAAAACCAAACAATCTTATGTTGCCACAGACAACATGACAGGGGCGAATAATAGACAAAGATAATACGAACCATATTATAATAAACGGAGTTCAAAATACACTTGACCATCAAAAAGTTTAGGACATGATAAATATCATCTCAGTATCAAATAATAATACCGAAACAGCTTTTAAAACTAAACACATTGACAGATAAAGAGACATATAGTTGAAATCCAAATATTCGATCTTTTCTTCTCCGTTTTTCTGTTTATTCTTTCTTGAGGTGGGGGAAACAAGTCAAGAGTTCTGCCTTTGGATGTTTAGCTTCGGCATGCTCCTTGCATTTCGCCTCTGAAGTAGTGCAAATGAAAGTTTGCATGCAAATCTTGCACTGCAATTTCGAACCAGAAAATAAACAATTAATAATAATAATAATAAAAAAATTAGTTAGCTTTACAATTTACACATACAACCGAAAACACGTTAGCACAAGAATAGAACACGCGCAAATTAAGCATTGATTGATATCAAACAAACAACAACAAGATTCAGCAGGGCCAAATATACACTAAAAGTTTGAAAATAACAATTTTTTAATAATTATTAGGTTCTTGAGAAATAATAATCATTTTGTTTTACGATTATTATTTCTCAAATTTAATGGTTCTCAAAGCTTATGTAACAATCGATCGATCAAATTTAATGGTTCTGGCTTTGTTACAACTCAAAGGAAGATAAGATACTCAAAATCGATATTCACAGCATATGTCATCAAACACGGTCAGATCAAAGGCTAAATCCAATCACAACTTGTAATATATAAGCACCGATCAAGTTGATTCCATACGGATTACAAAAGAAAAGTTCAAACTAGAAGAAATTTATTAATAAGAAGAAATAAATAAATAAATAAAAACTCAGACAAGTAAGAAAAGAAAAAGGTTGTCAGATTCTGACAAAATTCAGTACCATCAACAAAACCTTAAAAGAGAAGAATTACTCAACAAGAACACCAGATTTCTGTCTAGCCCTAAACATCAGATTTTAGGTCAAGAGTTTTCCCAATCAAATAATTACTACATACAAATAAATATATATTAACATAAATTAACACGAAATCATCAAAAAATTCAGATTAATTTTTTTTTTCAGCATAATAAAATTAACATAACAGTAAATCTGTAAAGAAAAAAAAAACCTGGATGGACATGGCCTTCTTGTTAGCGTCAAGCTGACTTCCTGCCATGAAATCAAACATACAGTTTCGATCAGTTCAATTCCGATTAAATTAAATTAAAAAAAAAACGCAGGATCTTTTTTTGATCCAAAAAATTAAAATCGCGATGGAAAAATTAAATTGAAAAAAAGAGATACCTTTTCCACCAGCTTTGAGCTTCTCCAAATTCTTCTCGCGAGCCATCTTTGCCTTCTGCGCATTGCCTCCACCCATTGTTTTTTCTTTTTTTTTTTTTTTTCTTTTCCTAAGAGATGAAAGAAAGCCCCTTTATTTTCTTCTTCAGCCCTAACGGTGGAGGAATTTGTGATACTGATATATAAATTGGAAGAGAATAATAATAAATATTAAAATTGGGGGAAAAGTGTAAATAAATAAAAAGAAATAAAAGAAATAGTTTGTAATAAAGTGGGGTTTTGAGGGGTATTTAATTTTAGGAGAAGAGGACAGGTATTGGAAAGGAAGTGGGAATTTAAAGATGGAGTTGTCTATTCACAACACACCATCCACCAAAATAAACCCTACCCGACGCGTTAATTTTACTCATACGGGCGCCGACCCCTGGGATAATGTTAAATTACGGTATTCCCCTTAGCTATGAATTTTTTACTTGTAGATCATTGAGTTGTCAAATTTAGTGGAATTTTTTAGAATATGTGGAATATTCTCCAGTTTGTACCCGTTTTAGTCTTATTCGAGCTCCACATTTTGAAACAGGATGATCATAAGACGTGTCTCTTCTCCTGACTTGAAAATATTTGATTGTGGTGCATCGAAAACTGCATTTTTAAACAAAACGAGTACAAACTGGAGAACATTACGCGGAATGTAGAAGATTCTGTTGAATTTGACACCGTAAAGGTGGACACAAGTAAGAAAATTTATAGTTGAAGGGTAATTGTATTTACCCAAACATGAAGAATTTTTTTCGTTATTTAACCTTAACTGAGAAGTTGGCCGTGATTTATCCAATAAAATATTGAGAAAACAAAATTAAAATATAATTGTCTTTTGAGAAAATTGAATAAATGTGGTATAATTTGAAATCAATACTCTAGAACAGTTTTCAAAATTAGCCTACTGATTGAAAAGTTTGACAATCATATATTGAATTAAATAAGCTAATATTCATATTGCATCTTCTACTTATATCAAGATTAAAAAGTTCAACAATCTAGTGTCATATAGGAGGATACCTCAAAAGTGATTTCTATAGTCAAGAAAAATAAACTAATAAAATGATAATGGAATGTATGAATACAAGACTACCTAAAATGGCAAATAAAATAAGTGATAATTATATTGTCTCAACTCTCTCTCAATTTTTCATAGGCTCAAGCATAATAAATAAATAAAAATAAAATAATATAACTATACGTTCCTTGACCAATTCAATATAAATAAATTAAAATAAACTTGGAGTGTGTCGACGAAAAAACCCCAAACAATATCGTAATTGCAAAAATTCAATCTAATATTTTTCCATTTTGCTGTTGAATATCCACATTCTTAGCTTTTTTGTATTTCTTTTTGCATTGGGGAGTAGTTTAGTTTAGTTTTTTTTTTTTTTTTTTCGTATGGTTCTACACATAATTGATCCGTGTAGAACCACATGGAATTATGCAATTTCATATTTTGTTTTTCTTGTTTAATTATGTGTTGACCAACACGGATTTTATTTGAAGATGTCCGTGTCACATCTACATTTTATGATTTTTTTTTAATTTCGTGTTGTTCCACACGGACTCGAGACGCATGTTCTGTGTTGACCAACATAGAATAACCAAAAGAAAATCTTTCGAAAAAACGCAAAAATTACCTGATAATCGAGATAATCGTCAACCATTTGGTTTACTATCGGTTCCTAATTTATTCAAGAGAAATATTCATTAATTTTAAATATTACGACTTACGAGTTACCACACACTCTTTGAAACTTATTTTTACTTTACACACACTCAGCTCAAAAGCTGCAATTAGATATAAATATTAATAAATAATTTATAATTCATAACTTAAAATATATCTTTTTGTTAAATAAACTAATTTATAATTTTTATGTTTGACCAATTAATATAGGAGGTTTTACGTACCACTTCATTGACTCTGGTCTTTGACTGGCTTAGAATTAAATAAAGATAAAAATAAAAATAAAAATAAAAATAAAAATAAAAATAGAAATAAAGGGATTTTTTTTTTTTCTTTTTATAGTGGCTTTAATTTGGAGGGTTGGAAGTTGGTAGGTCTATTCAATAAATAGTTTCACATTGTTTCACCGCCTAATTGTTTTGCGTTATCTCCCACTTGGATATTATTTCAGAGATATATTATATAGGTCTATTTGTCTGTTTTAGTCTATGTAAAAGAGGTTTATTCTATGTTAATTCCAATGTCTCTTTTGACTTTTCACAAAGATTAAAAAATTCAATAAAATATGATTTGATTTTTTAGGAAAATCACATAGAAATGATTAAAACAATCAACTTTTATTGTTTAACGATTTATAAGAGAGAATTAATTTTAGAGATGCATTAATAAAGTTTTTTTTTTGAGTAAATTCAAGTCCATTACAAAGGGAAGTATGGGAGGGTGGACTCGAATCCTAGACCTTTATCCTATTGGTAAATGCTAGGTACCAACTCTCCTAATGAGGGTTGGTAGATGCATTAATAAAATTAAAACAGTAAAAATACGTTTAATGCAGTATTGAAATTTAAAGTGACATATAATATGAAACAAAAATATTTGTAAAAAGAAACGTTATTGTGGAACATAGGAAAAGTATTTAATTTGTATTACACTATACTCCCTCGATTTCACATTAAATTTCATTTTATCCATGTTTATAGTATGCATTAATTTTAAATGAGACTTAATATAAAATGGTGAGAGTATTTTCCATGTTTTAAAGTGATTGGGGATAAAGATAAAATCGGGACAGCCAAATCTAGTGATAAAAAGGAATGAATTGTTGGACGATTTGCATATAACCTCAAGCAGGAGGATATACTTGCAATTTCATTTAGACCAAAATTAGTTTTACAGAAAATCTTATCCCATTGTCCCTTGTCCAAAATACTCGTTACAATATAATTTGGGTAAATTACAAACACCCCCCTGAGGTATGGTCAAATTACAAAAACACCCCTCTTGTTTGGATAATTACAACCACCCCCTCGGCTCCTCAAATTTTGTGGAATCTTCGAGGTTTTATGAAATATTATCACTTTTGTACCCGTTTTATACTATTCAAACTCTACATTATGTAGCAAGATGATCATAATATGTGATTTTTAGCTTGTGTATATCAGTTTGTGGTCCATCGGAAACTGTATTTTTCACACAAAACGAATGCAAACTAGAGCACATTCCACGGAATCTAGATGATTATGTTGAATTTGGCACAATAAGGGTGGAGGTGTAAGAAAAAATCAATAGTTGAGGGGGTAGATGTAATTATCCAAACAAGAGGGGTGTTTTTGTAATTTGACCATACCTCAGGGGGGTGTTTGTAATTTACCCATATAATTTACAACAATTCCATCCATACTGTCATAACCTAATGAATATTGCGCATTGACCCCATATTTTAACAAATATCTCACATTAACCTCTATTTTCATAGTTTCTTGAAAAAGTATATTTTTTGATGAATTATTTTTCCGACCACTGATCGAGGTTGATCGCTGGTCTCAGGAGTTGACTTTTCTTTTATATTTTTTTAAACAACCTACACAGTAATTTTACCATCTGAAACTGTAAAATTACTGTATGAGACATGTAGGCTGATACTGTAAAATTACTGTTTGAGATAATATTGCAGGCCGAGACAGTAACATTAATATTAACACAATCAAGACAATATTATTATTATCAACATAATAATATTACTGAAAAGAGTTAAAAAAATATTAAAAAATAAAAAGTCAATAGGGAGACCGAGTAATTGGAAAACAAATGTGGCCAAAATTAGTTAATTGGTGAATTTGGGGTTAAATTAGAGTTTAAATTATGAAATTGGAGTTGGATTGGAGTTTCAAGGAATTATATATAATTTAGGTATATATGAAAGATTTTTCTGTATTAACAAATAAGTCCGAATTTTTTTTTGAGAGAAATGAATTTATTAGGCCAGAAAAGCCAAATGAGGAGGGAGAGAAAGACCCTCAGTCGTGGTGAGATCCATGGATACAGCAAGACCATGAGCTAGCTTATTACAAGAGCGAGGAACAAAGGAAAAACGACAGGAAAAAAAAGATAAAGCTAGAGTACGAATGTCTTCTAAATAAGCACCGTAAGGACATAACAATAAGTCTTCACCTTGGAGTGCCGTAATAATTTGACGACAGTCCCCTTCGATAATAATTGACGGCCAACCTTTTGCATGGGCAAGCTGGATTGCGAAAAGAGCAGCGTGAGCTTCTCCCTCGACTGGTTGAACATGGCCTGGAAACGTTGAGACGCTCCACCAGAGTGTAGCTCCATCGGAATTTCGAGCCACCGTGGCGACCTTGTAGTGCGGCTGGGATGGTGGGAATGCAGCGTCGAAATTAACTTTCACTATTCCTTCTGGCGGCGGGGTCCACTGAACTTGTGGAGCGGGGCTCTTGGTGATAGTTGGCTCTAAGCATGCCGACCTGTACATGCTGAGATAATCCTCGCTCCAATTCCGTAGCTCCCATCCTCGGACAACCATATCTCCATTTTCTTCCCTATTACGCGAGTCCCACGCTTTCCAGCATATTACCATGGCGAGGCAGAGCAAGTTCTTCGAAAGATGCTTCCTCATCTTATCGAGCCAGCCAAGGAAAGAGACCGGTTCAGTTGTTGTGTCAATATTGAATGGTTCGCTTTGCCAAACCTTTGGAAGATCTCTACAACCGATCAAGGCATGCACCGTAGTCTCTGTTCGGGTTCCACACAAGTTGCAGAACGGGTCTGAGGTAATATGACGACGAAAAAGCGCCCCCTTGGTCGGGATAATATCCCATGCAGCCCTCCAAACAAAAATCTTGATTTTTGGTGGTAAGGACAAATGCCAAATATACTTCCATAGGTCCTTAGTTCCATTATTCGACGAGGTCCCATTCGTTTGTGAATCACTAGATGCAACATGATTGTACATAATGTTGTGATAGCATGATTTAACCGTGAATTGGCCGGAGCGTGAGTAGTGCCACACGAGGCGGTCTTGTGCAAAGCTACTGCCAATCGGGATTGCAAGAATTCTGTTATGGTCCACCGGCCAAAAAGAGGCATGGATGAGGTCCAAATCCCACACACGGGAATCCGGCAGAATGAGATCGGAAACCCTATTCGGAAAAGC